GGCTTCTATCTTTTTCTAACATGTGTTGATATACAATTCTCGCGCTTCTCTTTCGTACACATTGAACTTAAAAGACAAATTTGATTTTCTCTGTATATTGCACTTGCCTTATACTGCAAGCTGATTCTGGTCCCCATAAAATCCTGACTGCGACTGCCGCCTAATCTCTCAATGCAACATTGGTCGGGCTGGGTAGCATAATTATATGGAGCTGTTTGGCTCACCTGATCGATCCAATCATTCATGTTTATGCTATATATACTCTTTCTCATACTGAATGCACAAAAAACGTATTTGGTCCTATTTAAGAATAGTAGGTTAAAATTTAGTGAGAATTATGGCATTGGCTATAATAAAGGGTTTTCCATTGACGACTTGACAACTTTGCTTGTAAATAAAACGCAAACCATTTGAGATATCTCGAAAATTTTATTATTGGACTGAAGTATAGGTACTCAAAACATTTATGTATGGATTCGACCTCGTTCATATGTCCACGGGCACGTTCGCAGTCCAACTAACAATTATCACTCCTATTAGAATTGCAAGAATGATTATACAGTATCCCTTACACGGCATTGTATACTGCAATAACATTGGCAAAACCCCTTAGAACAGCTATACAAGCGGAATGGCCACACCTAATAGGACACTTCAGTCATTTAAGAGGTTGTATAAGGGCTGCAGGTAAAAGTTATACAACAAAAGTGTAAACCTCTTGCAGCCGCTGTTGGACATTTGCGTCAGTGCAAGATTCAGTTTTTGTCAACTATACAACTATTCTGTTACGTGATTCTACTTTAATGCAACCAAATTTCTTATGTATTGTATAGACAAAGTGAAGGATATATAGCTAACACATTAGAGTCATCTTGTTTACTTACATATCGGCCATTGTGAATTTAATACAGAGGTATATGATAAACGTCTACACTGTGATATAGGGCTATTGAATTACTTGCGCAGCAAATTTTTTGTGATTATCGTGCAAAGTAGTTACGCAATTTCTACGGGCTTCGTATTTGATTCATATTTTAGTA